AATAAAGTATTATTGGAAATCATCTTGCAATGTGTTTTGATTTATTTTTATTCACATAATTTACCAATATAACAAAACACTTAATGACTGTTCCCTCGGGAAACGGTTAGTTCTCGGGAAACAAAAACTAACCGTTTCCCTTGGGAACAGTCATTAAGTGTATATTATTTACCTAGATCTCGTCATATTGCGTATATACTGGGTGATTGATTTGCGACCAGGCCTGCATATGAATTCGCCAAGGTTGTAAGCCAGTGAGCCCGTGCATTTTTGTTAAGCAGTCTTATTTGAAAATGTAAATAAAGGAAAGGGAAAACCCGCAGCTTGCCTTCACTCAGACAAACAGTTATTTACATAACTAAACAAATTGATTATAGAATTAAACCTTTAAGAATTGAATGCTCATATAAAACATTTTCCACCTTAAATACACACGTGTTTTTCAGAATGGAATTTAGTCGAACTTTTTTCACGATGGAATTTTGYTTTGAGTCGTTTCGACATAAACAGTCGCTATCAAGACATTACACGAAAAACCCCAGTCACCGTTCTAGCTCTCGTTGTAAGGTCAGAGCTAGTAAATGTGTAACTGGCCTGTTACATAACGTCAAATCGTCGAGCACGCTTGCGGCTTATTGCCGAAAATGCGACAAAGAATGAACTACCGTTGTTTGTACCAAAAATAACAAACGCTTTAACTCTATTGGAATACGTGGACCTAAGCTTCTCTAGCTCTTCCAGTGATGTTGTAGATACCTCAAAGCTTAGAGGAAACAAGAGCTAAGAAAAATGATTTGCAATGGTTCCTCCTAAGATACATTGGACTTGAACGTCGCTTCAACGACCTTCTGAAGTCTTCGTGAATTCGGTCATTGCTTCGCATGCAATGGAGAACCCGCGTAGAACACAGAAAAATTATTTCTATCAGGGAGGGGAGTCTCGTGGTATTAAAGAAAAAGTTATTTGTTTCTTCATTTTTAAGATAAAATTCTCTTTCTATAACGATAAATATTTCAATTTCTCTTTGCGTTTTAGATTCGATTTTTCGGATAGAATAAAATGACAGCCAGCCTACTCCACTGGGTCGAGTTTTGCTGTGCAAATTCCTCCCGTCGGAGGGTTATGTTTACAACATAAGCTTGTCAGCTTTGCGCTGATTGGTTAGTCGCATTTTCTCAAATCACCCAGTATTGTTCCTTGGTACTGTTTTCAATACAATTATTGCTTTGTCGCAATAACAAAGTTAGAATACCRTATTATTACCAAGAAAAACAGGTATTTCCAACATATTTATTACACTCCATTGCAAGTTGTCTGTTGGTAAAATACAAGAAAAAAAGCTACTCCTAAAAAACGTTACTGTTTGTGAAATCACTTATGCATAAGATATATACAGCAAGGTAGGTTATAGAGTYGTGAAATTTCCGAAACAGAGACCAATATTTCTTTGTATGGAGTATCTCACTAGTGCTGAGAAGTCAATAAATTCGTTTTCATTTATTATGTAAAACATGAACAAAGAGTTGACAGATATATCATTAATACATATTCATTAACTTCAATGGTATACGCAGCCATTTAAATTCACTTAATAATATATACTTTAGATCTGTTCACTTCAGATGGTCATCCAATCTCGTACCCAGAGTCCGCACTTTTGCCATCCAGCGGAAGTCAATGCGTGAGAGACTCTGGGGTAATGGACCCAATCTCGTACCCAGAGCCCGCACTTTTGCCATCCAGCGGAAGTCAATGCGTGAGAGACTCTGGGGGAATGCGTTATTTCTCGATTCGTGATTGGCTGAAAATGACGCGAGAGCGCATTGTCGGATTTTCAAGTCGCCAGCGCTCGCTCGCCTGTAAATCAAGAAAATCATCCTTTTTTCGCATACCCACACATGTTTTCACACATTTTTTGTAAATACCCTTCCTAAACTAAGTTGTGTGCTAAACCTTTTTCTTTTTTTGTCATTTTAACGCTCTAAAACCAGAAAACAAATTTGACCTCATTTGCACAATTTGCTACGGAAAAGCGTCGCAAATCCAGTCGATTCCACCAGAGTCTCTCACGCAGTCATCCACTGGATGGTAAAAGCGTGGGCTCTGGGTACGAGATTGATGKTCATCCCTTTCTTAAAACTTTCGTTTCACCTTTGGGTTATAAGTTCRCTTTAGCCTGGAGTCATGCATCTACCAGGTGACAACTGAGACGACCAGCAAATTTTACAAATCACAATCAATGGTCATGATGAGAGAAAACCAAAAACAGACAAAAGCAATAGCTAGTTGTCAAWAGGACGAGGAAAAACCTATCCAAAACTCTTGTGGCAAAAATCCAGTCATCCTGGAGTTTTTCCTTTGCTTCGATCTCTCGATAATGGTCTGCAGGAACTTTAACTTCGGCCAAGAGCTTGTCCAAGTCTTCTTGTGGCTTAACGCGTGTGCCAATTTCTTCCTGCCAATTCCCTCTTTCTCTATCTTGTCTTGCATTGTTGCTTTTTGGTCTTCTAATGATAGATATTTCAGAAGAGAGGCCGTTAGTTTCGTCTTGAGGATCTTTGTTTAAAGAGAAAGCTCTACTTATGAAGAGGTTATCTTCTTCACAGGTAGTACTAACAGAAGTTTTTCCTTTGTGCATGAGGAGCAAATACGCCAGCCATTTGTTGATAAGAACATCAAACCACGTTGGAATCGGCGAATTGTTGCTGTGGAATCTTATTATGAAGCAAGTAGCCATAATAGAGAGACATTGTTGAATCATCAGAAATAAGAAAAACTTGGAAGCCAGCGGCACAAGAGAAGAGTGTGGCATTTCCTCGGTAAAAATCATCATGTAYACCGAAAAAGCGACAAGAACAGTCATGAGAAAGGATACTCTTTCTCCTGAATTGGGTGGCAAAATGAATGACAAAAGCGAGCTGAATGTAATKAGTCCACAAGGGACAACTAAATTGAGCACAAAAAACAAYGCTCTTCGCTTTATTCCTATTGTAAAAACCACAGACGAGAAGGGCTCAGGACAACAGCTGTGTCTYTTGACCAGTCTTTCTGCMTTGCTATTGAAAAAAATCCATTCTTCACTTTCAGAATAAGCTTCTTTGCCGACATATGGGACATGAAGGTTAATATCTAGCTTGGTGTTATCATACACCCAAGAACCAAACTGGAGATAGCACTGCTGTTTATCAAAAGGGAAATGCTTTGCATCCATTTTRCACTCAGTTGAGACAATAGCTGGTGACATCCAAGTGATTTCTCCAGTGTGATTAACAGATAGCTTATACATCATCTTGAAATTCATTTCGCCATGATTTTCTGAAGCGCTGTGAATTTRAAATGTAAAGGGTTGGAAACTKATTTTCATGCAAAAATGTCAATGTTGAAAACACAGTTTTGAAAACGTTTTTACACTGTAATCTTTGTCCGTGTATTTAAAGATATTTGGTATAGATCAATATTTGCATGTWTTCCCCTATTAATGTCATTTGGTCATTTAACTTACAATAAAGAGTTCGAGTACGTAACCTGAATATGGCGGCAGAGAGAATGATAAATTAATGAATTAATGGATTAATTCTAAAACCTAATTACCGTAGGAGCAACTCTAGGATGAAGCAGGGATTCTCCAAACCTAGACGTTCTTATTTGAATACGGCGGTAAAGAGACTTAATGGACTCTTGACTCTTGACTTTTACTTGTATATGGCGGTAGAGAGCTATGGTCAAGAACTCCGATTCCAAACACTAATGTTAACACTTAATCTGAGATGTACCTTAGAGGCATGAACCATTAATTCATCCGTACAGTACTGACAAATTAAAGGTTGCACAACTTCAATAACCTTTGAAATGGGAGTATTTCAAAATACAATTCAAATCTTCTTCATTTTATTTTCATAATTTTTTTAGGGTTTCACCTGCAAAAAAAAAAAAATTCTAAAAAGTTTCATGTGAAGTGCTTAAATCGTATGCTGACAAGATACCTGTTATATATGGCAATTTTTGGAGTCCAGACTTTTTCAGGATCGATAACAGCTGATATTAGACCTCCAAAATGGTTTGGGTTCCAATTTATGAACTCGTCTTTCCAAAACTAAATATTATGGACCATAATAAAAGCATTAAAAAGGCACAAAAAACATATTCGCTGCAAAAGGGAAATTGCCATTCTTTGGAATTATTCCGATGTGTGATGCGGTTGAGAAGTTGTAAAAAGGTTATTTTTTTCATGATAAGCGTTTTAGCAATTCATTATCACGCATGCGCTAGGTCTGCGTTTTGAGTCCTTTCGGACAGGTTGGCCAATCCAGGATAAGGGATAAGGGGATGTTATCCATCAAAGGGCAATAGTCTACCATCAACCCTTTCGATCATTTGTATCTTTATAGATAAAATTCATAATGAAATAATCAATCGTACTTTGCGTTATCTATTTGTGATGATATTGCCGTAAGATTTCACCTATACAGACGGTGGAAATAGATTGGGAACTATAGATATTGTAAGTCATCTCATTTTCCATATATGAAAAATCAAATAGACGACCGCACGGCTAGTGGACCATGGCCCTTAAAAAAATCAATCAAATTTGATCTTGCTGTCAAACTTACAATTCTTATCCATAAGTGTAGCTTCAGTATTTGGCGATGGAAATCCTGCAACGAGGCATTAAGGAAACAAATTCTGAAAATCATGATCATGCGTGACATGCATTGCCGCAAAGCCAATTCGAACAGGATATAAAGAGTGCCTCATGGCGCCTTTTAATAGACATATGGAGTTGGTCGAGCCCGCTGAGTGGCTTGATATCATGAATATTCTTACTCAGGAGGAGCCTACGCGGTCTGTTCTTCAAAATAACTGTTCTAGTTCTTTCCTGGGACAGGGACTTTGAGCTACATTGTTGACAATCTCACAAGCAAGTGTGACGCCCTTCCTTCTTCAAAATAATTTTGTTCCTGGAAAACGTTTTTGAGGTCAAAGAGAAAATTGAATTGATTTAACTTATTGCCAAGGCCTATACAAGTGTAGGTCGTTAGACAGTTCGATCTGCATCGTTTAAATTTGAGCGCCTTAGTTGGTTGAGAAACTAATTTCTCTAGGAAAACTTTCGAAAAGATTATTTCATGGATAATKATATGATAATTTCAGTTAATTGGTCTCCATGGAGATAAAGGTTTCAAATAGTTCATGTTTTGCGCAATGCTATAWTCTCATTAAATGTCATAGTCGTTTTATGTTCTTGCCGTATTCGATGTCGGCTTGATCTTATGCGACACGAGGTTGTTGTCACTCTTGCGCACGTGAAAGCTATGCCCGCTTTGCATGTCTTTCACGACTGAAAATGTGGTTTCAAGGCTCTATGTCATTTTTTGCCAGAGCATTTGTCTAGTGTTCAAGCGCCTCCCAAAGGGGTTTATTTCGTTTGTACAAATAAATTTTCTCGAGATATGAATTTTCTTCAAACTCATCAAATACTTACCACGCCGACGATCTGCCTCAACAAAATTGCAAATCTTACTTTGACAGGGTTGGCTACATTCTGCACAGGTCGGATTTCACGGTTGTAGCCGGTTAAAATATGCTTGATTAAACGACTTTCGGAGTTGTTGACAGGCTGAGCGAAYGTAGTACCTTAAAGACAACACTCAACAAAATCATGGGGCTGACAAGACGGAAAATTAAAGTAAAATGTTGGGTAGTCAACCAATTTGGACGACCTCATTAATTCTTTTTTTCGTTTTCTTTTTGATTTTTTGTGTCGCTTTTTTACATACATTACACATATCTGAAACTACACAAATTCAATGTGATCCGGTTATTKGCATAATTTTGGGGAGGCATCGCCAAAACGGTATCTTCCACTTAGTTATGTTTACTAACCCAGACATAATACAAAATGAATATCTCTGATATACGTGTGAATATGGCCTGATTCCTAGAGTATGATTGCCCCAGTCCCAAACTCGTATTTCCTCTCTTGTTTCTTTGTTCATGGATTTAACCATTGAAAAACTCGTTTTTGAACGATTCGGGCGATTAAAAGGACACATGTACAACATAAAAAAAGCGATAATTCTTTTCAGAACTCACCTGAAGCAAAAAGTGTCAAGAAAAGAATCCAAACATACAAGGCCATCACTTTGAAGTTGCTAAATTGTTCATGCAGTTCAAAGACATTGATGGTGTCGATTGCTTCTATAGTTTCTTGCTGCTTATTTTAATATTTCTATGTAGCTCATTACCTGCATTTTACTTGATTTTATCAATTTAAAAAATTATGACAGATCAAATGCAAATTTCAGGATAACATTTTCTCATCTATAAAAGTTTATGAATAATGAATAGACAAAGGTAATATCAAATAGTTTGTGCTTTATATTTATCACATATTACTTATACTTTTGTGGCTCAATTTAAATAGAGATATCGAAGGAAGTTCGTACGTACACAAGCACTTTTATTTTCTAACATTTCCATTTTCATTTGGTGRCAAATTGWGGTGCTAGTTTTTTTCCTTTATATATCACATCATTGGTTGAATGGATATCGAATTAYAATCCATTCCCTCTKTGWCATCRTTGTCATTATTTAGCTGACAGTATAAAYTARCAATACCCTCTTAAAATGCAKTYTTTTGTTTGCCTTTGTTTGAAATTATCCTTTTTGAAAAAGTTTGAAAGAGTATGGAGCGGAATTCTTTATCCAATGATGGCTGAACTTTTACAATGCAGAGCACAAACTGTAGATTCTAAGTTTAGCCTGTCTTAAACCTTGATTACACCTGTCTCTTCTGATGAAAATCCGATTTGCAAAAAAATTCCTACAGCTTTAGAATGCATCCTTACCAAAGAAAAAATAAAATCAAAGAAAAAAAATCAACAGCAAAGAAATAGAAACACTCATGACAATAAGCAAAAGGAAAAACCTATCTAAAACATTTGCAGCGAAAACCCAATCACTTTGTAGCTTCTCCTTCGCTTTAATCTCACGAAMATGATCAGCAGGAACATTTAATTSGASGAGRATTTTTCCCAACTCTTCTTTCAGAGCGATATTTGTTTCAACAACTTTTTGCAAAATTGCTTTATTTCCTTGAGCATCAATATTGTAGCTTTTCTCTTTGGAGATACCCCTTGAAAGGCTATTATTTTCATTTTGGGTGTCACTTTTGTTTAAAAAGAAAGCTTTTTTGAAGATGAGGTCATCTTGTCCAGGAACAACAGAATTCTTTTTAGGCTTCATGAACATCAGACAAGCCAGCCATTTGTTGACAAGAACATCAAACCACTTGGGTATAGGKGATTCATTGTTATAGAATCGTATTATAAAACATGTAGCCATCACGGAAAGAACTTGCTGGGCCATAATAGACAAGAAAAATTTGGAAGCCAGCGGTACAGTTGAAGAATGTGGCATTTCCTCGGTGACAATCATCATGTAAACCGAAAAAGCGACAAGRACAGTCATGAGAAAGGATACTCTTTCTCCTGAATTAGGTGGCAAAATGAAGGAAAAGATCGAGCTGAATGTGATAAGKGCACAAGGGACAATCACATTGAGCACRAAAAACAATGCTCTACGCTTTATCACCAAYGTGTARACCACTGATGGGAAAGGTTCCGGGCAACAGTTGAAYTTAGTGATCATTCTCTCGGCCTTGTTATCGGCAAGARTCCATTCTTCATTTTCAGAATAACCCTCTTTGTCGACATATGGCAGATGAAGCTGAACGTCAACCAGACTTCCATCAAGGATCCAAGAACCAAACTCAAGGGAACACTGTTGTTGATCAAATGGAAAATAKAGCACATTCATTTTGCACCTAGAGGAGACCATTGAAGGTGATAACCAGGTTATTTCTCCAGTATGGTGAATAAGCAGCTTATAAGCCATGTTAACATTTCTGTCATCGTGATCAGGCCTTTCTGATGCGCTGTGAAGGTGAAAATATAATGGTTAACTTTGAAGTGTAAGTTAAAATTGTTTTTACCATTTTTATGCCTCAATCAACCAAAGACAATGCTACACAACTTGCATTCATGTTATTGCTAACCACATCCTTATTTAGTGGTACACTATGATATCAAGTTGAAAAATAACGCTCCCTTAACCAATAACTTCATTTGGCGAAAAGCTGCTTGTCATCACATCCATTTCACTCGTGACTAAATATGTTATCTTAGGTGCGTGCGTACGATATCAACGTAGAAAACACCAAAGGACTCAAAGTTCAAGAATTCATGACGAATCTACACTGAATACACCTTTTCAGTTGCTCTCAGGCCTCGACAGCGTGTTAAATATGCTTTGGAATTTGTAGGAATGTGATCAATGCAAACATTGATATGAATAGTCTCATTTGTCAAATTCAAAAGAATAATTAACTTGCTATCGAGGCCTAAGTGCAACTGAAAAGGTGTATTTGAAATGTAATCATCGACATCGACATGCTTTCGAGAATCACCTGTTATATAGCGCAATATCTGGAACCCAGACATCGTTAGGATCAACAACAGCTTTTTGCAGACCACCAAAGTCTTCTGGTTTCCAASTAATGAACTCGTCCTTCCAATACTAAACATTTTAAGAAAAATATTTTTTTTTTAGTTTTACTCTCCCATCCCCCCGTACAATTAAGTGTATGGGAAGAATCTGATAAACAGCCATATTCGATTCGTTTTATATTATAGTTACCATTCTTATCCACAAGTTCAGTTTCAGCTTCTGGTGTTGGAAATCCTATCAGGACGAACGAAATTTTTGAAACTTCAAATATTTGCTCCATTTCAAATACAGCTTAATTTATTACTCTGATAAAACACATACCACATCGATAATCTGGCTCAGCATAATTCCAAATCTTACTTCAACRGCTTTGGATACATTTTGAACAGGTCGGACTTCATGGTTGTAGCCGGTTAAGATATACTCCATTAAACGATTTTCATAGTTGATGATGGGCTGGGCAGGCGAAGTACCTTTTTGACAACACCAAACAAATTCATTTGAACAGGTGACAAAACAATATTATCTGAGTATATCATGATAAAGTTCGACTAAGTTGGATTGGTCCCATCACTTCTTGTTTGGATGTAAAAACATGCATGACACAACTTTTAGACAACACACAGATGAACAAGTAGTAAGACAAATACACAAATCATAAGAAAACTTCTTCATTGGGTACATTTGAAAACCTAACTGAATGCACAATAGATCCGAATTAAAATCCGAATAAAAAAAACATGTCGGATCGCAAAAAAGAGATATTATGAAGTTAATACCTGTTTAATGACTWAAAAGRTGGGAACTAGCGGTAAACTATATAGTATGAGCTGCGTCGGTGTTGWAGGATTAACGTCCGAAACGTCAGTAAGTTATTCCACCAACTTTTTCAGGGTGCTAAATGTATCTTTTTACACAACTAATAACTAAAATACTGAATTAATAGAACCATATTTGTCGAAACAAGTTACATCATATCATTAYTCGACGTATAGAAAGTCATGTTTTTCAGTGCAGGCAATCTGTTGATATTTTTTTCATATTTTTTCCCATGATCCCTCCCGGTCTTAGATTTCATGATGTAGCCTTTTGGAACCCCGCCATGTTTTTTCAATTTGCCGTGAAAATACATGCGAATGCGCTATTATTTCCAGAGTCCATATGTTTGTATTCCATTAGTTTAGTTTCTTCATGGGATTTACTAACAATGGAAAACGCGTTTTGTGGCGATGGAGATAATTTTTGCGACTAGTGATTAATGACACATTCAAAAATATCGTTTTCAGAACTCAGCTGGTGTCAAATCAATTTTTTTTTCAAAGTATGAAAATTGTCTATTTTTACTCTTACTATTTTGTAATTCATCACCTGCACCAGAGTACTGTAGTTTTATTGATTAAAGCAATTATAACAGAAGACTTGGAAACTTCGGGATAAATTTGTGTTACCTATACTCATACGATACTTATACTCATCAAAACTGATAAACAATTTTATTTTCATTTTCACTTGTTTTTGTAGAGTAAATCTCTCAAAATGTCTGGTAAAGTCAGCTATATCATTTGTTTTTTATGCTTTTTTTCTGTATGTGATTGATTTTAACTTGACCTTTATCCGTTACACTTTTAAGTCCAGAGTTTAACTTCCCAGTGTTTATTAGTCCTCTCCTGAGCTGCATTAGTCTTAGCAATGCATTTCAAGTCTTACAATGACCAACATCATTCCAGAATCTACAGAGATGTTAATTCAGGAATAATTGATCCYTACTAAATTCGATTCTTTTTTAATCATAGGTGAAAATTGATATCTAAATTGTCGAATTTCAAGGTCAATTAAAGCCCGATAAAACATGATAAAAGTTATATCTGCCATGGCGGACATAATGTGTTGTCGCCTGTGCAAAAAATGTATGTTCTTTATAAGATCGTATATCTTTACACATTAAAGCCATCGTTTCCGTTCTTCCCCGATACRACGTTGGCAGTTCTCAATGTAATCAGATGCAGCTCATTTAATTCCTAACAAAAAGCAACACTAAATCGGAGGGAGATGAGGTTAAAAATAGTGCCGAGTAATTTATATGCAATCGACTGATTTCGTCAACGATTGTTGTTATTGTCGAATTTTAAGATTATAAGCGGGTTAAAGATGCCGCATTGAACGACTTTCCGAGTTGTTGACAGTCAGGGCAAACAAAATACCTTAAAAGATGCTACATCTGCAGTTGCATTGTATGTATTTCTCAATTAGTACTAGGTATGTTTGAATAATTCAATCGCCCAATCAATATTGGTCATGTTGCCTTTATTTTTCATTCTCTCTTTTCTCTTTATTTTTTGAAAGACTTGTACTATACGTTTTTAAAATGCGATCGGCATACGAAAMATTACTGCTTTAAGAACTCACCTGGAGCGAAACGAAGGAAGAAAAGAGTCCAAATATATGTGGCCATCATTTTGTATGAAAAGTTCGACCTTGATGATAGCAAATGATGCTGACAGACCCCTTGACTACARTGCTATTACTYTGTAACTCATCACGCTTATTTCAAGCTGTTACATATTCAAATAAATTGCAAAGTTTGGAATACCATTTTCTCATCTGTGTACATAAATCCTTTAAAATGAAATAGACTACATCTAAAGAGATTGTACCTCGTCTAATTATATTGCTCAACTTTCCTTTATTTTGAAAATAGGCCTGGGTAGTAACACTAAAAGCAAAAAGCTGCTAACATTTCCCATGATTCGTGCGTTTACTAATTGGAAGACTCTACTTTATGAAATCAAATCAATTATAAAACATGGTTTGAGATTTAGTTAATTTATGATAGGTGCTARTCCAAAACTGGACCCTCTTTTTTCAATTGCTATTTGTTAGTATATTTACAAAAATTTAACGTGCGCGGGCAAGAAAAAATTGAAAACCTTTTATCCTGACCGTCGAGTATGTTGATTCAAAGATTAATTTCAATTTCTCGCTCGTAAGGATAAAGAGGGATAGGTGCCTGCTTGAAAACACATCTAGATTCCACTTTATGGAATGGTTTATAAGGTTCGCTTTTATCCAATTCTTGCTGTTTCGATCATCCATTCCAATATTTCTATGCTGTCTTACACCAGGCGATAACTTGATCAACCAAACAGGAGCTATAACAGTAGTCTCCTTCACGGTTCCCTGCGCCATCTTGAAAGGTAGCCGTATAATTTTCTTCAAGAAAGCCCGAGCTCAAATCTGCAACACCGTTTGATTCTGAGAAATAAACCTTTACTCGGGCTTCCTATCTGAAATACTTTGACTATTTCAATGATTCCAGAGGGTCTAATTATTATAGTTATAATCTACTAAGTGTGCTCTTCACTTTCGAAGATTTCAGTGCTTAAAGAAAATTCGTACCAAAAAAACAAACAATTCAAGTCTAAGAGTTCTATRACTTCGTTCCACGCTGTTGTTCCACCCTGGACAAAAACGGTCGAGAATAAGACTACGTTTACACGGGCCACTCAAGTTTGAGGACACCTCGGTTTTAGGACAATTCCCACTGTTCACACGGAACCGTCCACATTTCGGTACGGATTGAAGCAGTGTTCACACGTATCCGTTCATGCTTCGAAGTGGCCTGTCCTCAAAGTGGAACGGCTTTTTAGCCGGCCCCAAACCTGAACACTTTGCCAGCCTCAGATGAGGCCAGTTCCAGAGTTCCAGTGTGAACGCGCGCCTAAACTAGAACGGTTCTGAACGGAACCGGCCTCATGTGAAYGTAGCCTAACWGCACCCTTCAGGTCAGTTCAAAACAAAACATCCTACCTACCCCCTCCCCTCCCCCAAAAACAGTGTCGTTAGCACTCAAACACAATCCAGCATGTTTGTGTGCTCTTTAAAGTAAAACTTTGAGCGAAGAGGGGCGGGGGGAGGGCAGAAAAAGATAAAAAGTAAAAGGAGACATTTCAACATTCAGCTATTTTTAAAACATTCTCAACTCTTTTTGTCCAGGAATGTAGCTATATTGATGTAGTGTGTAAAAAACTAGCAAAAGACGTGTGTTATGAAAACGACCAGTCAGCTAGACCCCTGAATGTATGTAATCCATTTAAAAGTTCAACTCTTAAATCGGTCCACGAATGTCACATGGAAAACCAATGGAATTATGAAGCTTCACTACTCAGAATCACACCATTACCAACCARAAGGATTAACAACATGCAAATACAAACACTCGCGATCAAAACGAGTAGAAAAAACCTGTCTAAAACTCTTGTGGCAAAAATCCAATCATTTTGGAGTTTTTCCTTTGCTCTAATCTCACGTAAATAGTCGACTGGAACTTTAACTTCTTCGAGGAGCTTATACAACTGTTCTTGTACCACATCATTTGTTCCAAGTTCTTTTTTTCCTGCTTCATTATTACTGTCTGGAGCCTCGGTTTTGGAGTTTGTAGGGTGGGATCTGTCCCGAGAAAGGGCATCACCTTCATTTCGATARACTTTGCTTAAAAAGGTATTTCTTTTGAAGAGGAGGTCATCTTTTCCAGGAACAACAGAATTCTTTTCAGGTTGCATGAATAGCAAATAAGCCAGCCATTTGTTGACAAGAACGTCAAACCACTTGGGTATCGGAGAATCGTTACTTTGGAATCTTATTATAAAGCAAGTAGCCATAATAGATAGGCCTTGTTGGACCATCAGAAATAAGAAAAACTTGGAAGCTAACGGCACAGTTGAAGAAGGTGGAATTTCTTCGTTTACAATCATCATGTAAACTGTAAAAGCGACAAGAACAGTTGTAAGRAAAGATACTCTTTCTCCTGAATTAGGTGGCATGATRAACGAAAAGAGCGAGCTGAATGTCATGAGTCCACAAGGTACGATCACATTACGCACAAAAAACGATGCTCTTCGTTCCATCTCTAGTGTAAAAACTACTGAGGGGAAGGGATCTGATGAGGCGCTGTATTTTTTCACCCGCTTCTCAGCCTTGTCACCARTTAAAAGCCATTCTTCATTTTCAGAATAAGACTCCTTGTCGACATATGGTTTATGAAGATCAACGTCCAGCTTGCTACCATCAAATACCCAAGAMCCAAATTCGAGGAAACACTTTTGTTTGTCAAAAGGAAAACTGAGTGCATCCATTCCRCAGTCAGAGGAGATGATTGAAGGTGACGTCCAACGCATTTCTCCAGTGTGTGTGACCAATACTTTATATATCATCTTGAAATTGATCTCACCAGGCTTATCTGATGCGCTGTCAATCAAAWGTTATAAAGTTAACTCAACAGTGCAGCAAATTAATGTGTGTAGGAATGTTCAAAGTGCAAATTCACGAAAGAACCCTAATCTCAAAACTTTATGATTAAAATATCTGAGGAATATGTGAATTATATATTTATCTATGAAAACCTTGTCAGAGAATTGTTTTGTTATTAATAAAGTTTGAAATGAGTTGTTACTTGAA